TGAACCGAAAGGTCAGCGGTTCAAACCCACCAGATGCTCTGTGGGAGAAAGATGTGACAGTTTGTTTCTATAAAGACTTACAGCTTCCGAAACCCTGTGCGGCAGTTCTACTCTGTCCCCTAGGGTCGCTGTGAGTCAGAATTGACTCGACGACAGTAGGTTTGGTTTGGGTTGTCAGTGGCATATTTCTTCAGAATTATAGTCAAATTTATAGCAGAACTACACTTCATTTAACATAATTTTTAAATTTTTTTCTCAAAAGTAATACACATAAAGCATATTGCTTGATAGGAGTCTACTTTGTTTTATAAACTGTTGCCAAATATTCCATTGTATGGGTATAATATTCCATTGCTTTTTCTCTTGAAGATCTTGAGTTGTTTTTTTAATCTGTTGTCATTACTAATAGTGCTGCAGTGCATATCCTTGTAAATAACACTTGACACACAGGTGCAGCAAGTACATGTATAGGATAAACTCCAGAAGTAAGAATTTTGGACCAAGAGATACACCAAGTTTTCAATTTTGAGAGCTGTTGCCAATTTTCCTCTAAAGAGATTTTCTTTTTCTATGAACTGTGTATCATTCTTTTACCCTTAGCTGTGAGTCTTTTTCTTGATGATTTTTACATATTAATGAGTGTCTTTTGTTTCTTGTACATGTTGTAAATATTTTCCCAGTTGCAACCTTTTTTACAAAGAACTTTATTTATGTTTTGTATTTTTAAGGTTTTTTTGTCAGTTGGTTGGTTGTTGGATTTTTGGGTTTTTTTGTTTTTGTTTTTCTTTGCCATTCAGAAATTTTTCCTTTTAGTATTTTCCTTTTATCAATTTTTTATGGCTTCTAGGTTTTTTACTTCTGTAAAGATTTACAGCCTTGGAAACACAATGGGGTTCACTATGAGTTGGAATTGACTCAGTGGTGGTGGATTTGGTTTGTTTTCCCTACTTAAATATTATACTTTAGAATTTCCCTGTGTGTTGTTCCAGAGCTTATCTGGCTTTTACGCGTGCACACACACACATGTATATACATATATACACACATGCCTTCAAAGCATTTATCCATCTGAAATTGTTTTGGTATAAAGAGTTGAGATAAAGATCTCACTTGATTCTTTTATAGATGGCTAGCCATTTATCCCACACCATTTATTGCTACCTTTCATTTTCTGGTTTGAAATACTTGTTTAATTTTAAATTTTACTGTCAAATTTATTCTCTTTTCTTGACCAAAGTAATGAATTTTCAATTCATTAAGAGAAGTATTTCTGTACCCACCTCATAGCAGATTGATACCAATTCTTTTCCTTCAGGATCCTTTCAAGTATAGCTATCCACCACTAGTAGATGATGACTTCCAGACACCATTGTGTGAAAATGGGCCGATTACCAGTGAGGATGAAACTTCAAGTAAAGAAGATATAGAAAGTGACGGTAAAGAAACCTTGGAAACAATTTCTAATGAAGAACAGACAGCTCCTGTGAAAAAGGTAATTTTAAGAATGAAATGAAATGGAGTCAAAAGTTGTAGTCTAGGGAGATATGTGTAGGAGATCCTAGATAGAGTGGGAGAACAATGTAGAACAAAACTCAAAATTACAAAAAAAAAAGAAATAGGCCAGGTTTGCTGATCTAGTAAAACCCAAAACCAAACCCACTGCCATCAGGTTGATTTTGACTCATGGCGACCCCCATTGGGTTTCCAAGGCAGTGGATCTTTATGGAAATAGATTGCCCAGTCTTGCTTCTGTGGAGTGGCTGGTGGGTTTGGGCTGCCAACCTTTTGGTTGGCAGACGAATGCCTTGGGCACTGTGCTAATAGAGCTCCTTGCTGGTCTGATGGAACCTGGTGAAATCCCTGAGACTATGACCCCTAGCTACCCTTCAGGTCTGGAATTGAACTGACTCCTATGGCCTCCAGCCAAATAAAAGACCGGCATATGGCTGAACATTTACGTCAAGTATATACACTCCTTGGAGAGATCAATCATGGAAGAACACTGTATACACAGAGAGACCACTCGGAGGACAGTAATGCATAGGAGAGAAGGATATAGGGAAGAGGTAACTATGGGGAGGAAGTGAGAAGAGAGCTGTTACGTTGTGGGAAATTGCAGTCAATGTCATGAGATAAAGTGTGTATGAACTGCTATATGGAAAATGAATTTGCTCTGTAATCTTTCACCCAAATCACAATAAAAATTTGAAAAAAAAAAAGTTGCAGTCTAGCTCCCATCGTGCTACCATCTGGCTGGGTGATTTCAGGTATGTCCCTTAACTTGCTTCCCTTCAGCATCTTTCTATGTAAAAAGAAAGAGGGAGGGTGGGATTAGCTGACCAGTAGAGTAATTTTAATGTATAAAAGACCAATTTTTAGCTTTTGTATAAAGGTTGGCAAAATTTACCTGGAAGGAATTGTTTTATCTAAAATAACCTAAATAATAAATTTAGAACTTTACTTTGATTGAGAATCTCGATTTTGTTTTGTAAAGAACACTTGGTTGTACCTCTTCACATGAGTAATCAGAGGCTTAATAGAGGCACAAATACAATATTAAATATTAAAACTTTTTAATTGTAATTTGGGTGGAAATTTACAAAGCAAATTCGTTTTCCATGCAGCAGTTCATACGAAATCTGTTTCATGACATTGATGCAATTCCCCACAATATAACAGTTCTTTTCCCACTTCCTCCCTATAGTTACCTCTTCCCTGTGTCCTTCTTTCCTGTGCATTCCTACCCCCTGAGCTATCTCCCTGTGCAAATACTACCCTTCAGTTCTCCCATGATTGATCATTCTAAGGAATATATCTGCCTGATGTAAATGTTCACCCCATATGTCTGTCTGTTGTTTGGCTGGAAGCCACAGGAGTGTGTCCAATTCCAGATGTGAGGGGTAACTAGGTGCCATAGTCCCGGGACTCACCAGGCTCTATCAGACCAGTAAACCTGGTCTTCTTTTATTTTTTTTTAAATATGATTTTGAGTTTTATTCCACATTGTTCTCCCACTCTATCCAGGATCTCCTGCACTGATCCCTTTCAGACTGGTTGACAATGGTAGCCGGGCACCATCTAGTTCTTCTGGTCTCATGGTCATATATGCAGTCTACTTGTCCATTGGACTGATTGTTTCCATGCATCTTTGGTTTTCTTCATTCTTCTTTGCTCTGGACAAGGGAGAATTTAAAACTCTTTACATAGCCTTAATGTTTACTTTTTGACCTAATGCCCTGCCAAAATGTCAACATGAAACAAAATTTCATTATCTTTTCTTACTACTTCATAATTTTTTGTCTTTAGGTTAACCCAGCAGAACCAAATTCCAAAGCAGAAGAGAATGAAAAAGTTGACTCCAAGATGAAAGTCTTCAAGAAACCACTGAGTGTGTTTAAAGGGCCCTTACTACATATCAGGTAATATCTGGATTGTATTAGCTGGACCTTTATAATACATCTTGATCATCTTGAGAGAGCTGCAAAATTAGAACGTTTCTTTTGTACCATTTTTGAAACTTACAAAAGTAAGGGTTGTCTCAAGGCTCCCTTCATTCCCAGACAGCAGCTATTTCTAGCAATCGTTTGTTAACTTAGTCCACTGAGTATATGTATAGGGCTCTCCTCACATGTCAGGAAATAAAAGTGAATGTTCAGATTTTAACAATATATCCAAATCATTACATTTTCTTTTGACTGATTCTGTTCTACTTGCATCAGCTCCGAGATGCCAGAAATGACATTGAAGTGCATTTGTCCATTTGACCTTCCAAAGGCCAAAGCTAAACCATAAAACTAGTTCTTTTACTAAACCCAAATTTCAGTCCATCTCTGTTTTTGTTGTTATTTGACCTAAAAGATTCAGGATTATCTCTTTTGCCATATGTAAAGACCTCTTTCTCACTAAAGATCCTTTTGGTTGATAAATCTTTGAAGCCTTATGTTACTACTCCTGTACCAAGTTTTTTCAGTAATGACCTAATATATCATTTTCCATCCCTTTACTTGAAACCTTTAAACCTTGTAGCTATCTTAGGTATATCTCTTATGAACAATACACCCAGACTTTTTTTTTCTTAAATCTGAGGTTCAGTTTATTTGAGAACTGTTATATTTGGATTTGCCTCCACCATCTTTCTATGCTCAGGGGTGCACTTTTTGTTTTCCATGGTTTTACTTTGGCATTTTTACCTTTTTAGAATTTTCTTTATACTTCATTTTTCCCCCTACTTGTTTGGAAGGTATTTTGTTTTATCACTGAAGACCTGCCAAAAACTTGGGCTCTAGCTTATGGGAGGAAGAACAGGCAAGGAAGAAACTGAGCCTGGAGAATAGAAGTTTCTAGGGTCCCCATTTGGGCTCTAACTCTCCTTGCCCCCCTCTCCCTCCCAGGAACCTCCCAGTGCCTCTCCTAGAAACATACAAAGACCCAATTGGCAATAGTGCTGGTTTACTCTCTTGCCCAGAGCTGGACAAAGCCCTTCTGAGAGAGCACCACCTTAAAATATGTATTTTCTACAGTAATAAATATCTCTGATGGCAGAAATTCTGGATCTAAGAGGTACTATTTAAAGATATCTGTCAAAATCAAGAGTTACCTGAAGCCTCACCTTAGTGATTCATCTCTTTATGTCAAACAGAAACACTATCATTTCCATTGTTTTGAGGAATCTGATACAAGATGGTTAATGTAACTGAACTATATAAGCTTTACTTGAGTGTATTATTTTTATTTTAGGTCATGATCATGACAATGGCCAAGAATAGTACATTGTGCATTTTGAGGCTTGCTGATTTTATTGTTTGATAAGCTCTCCCTTGCAGTTCTTATTGCACATTTTATTTCTTATGTTTATTCCTCTCCTTTCTTTCCATTTAGAAAAAGCCTTTACGTGTTACTCTTCTTGGGTGCCGTCAAGTCGGTTCTGACTCATAGTGACCCTATATACAAACAGAAACAGACACTGCCCGGTCCTGTGCCATCCTCACACTCATTGTTATGTTTGAGCTCAGTGTTGCATCCGTTGTATCAGTCCATCCCATTGAGGGTCTTTCTCTTTTTCACTGAGCTCTACTTTCCAAAGCATGATATCCTTCCCCAGGGACTGTTCTCTCCTGATAACATGTCCAAAGTATGTGAGACAGGGTTATACCATCCTCACTTCTAAGGAGCATTAAGGCCATACTTCTTCCAAGACACATTTTTCTGTTCTTCTGACAGTCTATGTATATTTAACGTTCTTTGTCAACACCATAATTCATAGGCATCAATTCTTCTTCAGTCTTCCTTGGTCATTGTCTAGTTTTCACAGTGTACATATGAGGTGATTGAAAATACCATGGTTTGGGTCAGGTGCACTTAGTCTTCAAAGTGACATCTTTGCTTTCTAACACTTTAAAAAGAGCTTTTGCAGCAGATTTTCCCAATGCAATAAATCATTTGATTTCTCGCCTGCTGCTCTTCCATGGGTGTTGATTGTGGATCCAAGTTAAATGAAATCCTTGACAACTTCAGTCTTTCCTCTATTTATTGTGGCTGTAGCAATGAGTTCAAGTGTAGCAAGCATTGTGGGGATGGCACACAACTGGGCAGTGTTTCATTGTGTTCTACATAGGGTTGCTATGAGTTGGAGCCAACTTGACGGCACCTAACAGTGACACAAAATTGAAGCAGCATTTCCTTCTTTGTTTTATTATGTAATTGCAGTATAGTAAATTACATAGTATGACTTTTCTAGCCATAAGTCTTTGTAAACTCCATGGTGGAATTTGCCATGAGCAACTGAGTAGCTCCTGATTATTAGTTATCCACCTGGGGTATTTCTGTTTAGAGTGACATGAAGCACTCTTCTGGGAAGTTCTCTCTCTCTCTCAGGTGTATAGAATTCTGATGTTGGGATTGGTTAGTTTGGCCACTCTGCCAGGTGCAAAAGGAGCCCTCCTAGAGGCAGAAGGAGTCTCTGTGACTGCTGGCTGAGAAAGACGTGCTGCTGAGAGAAACACGCTTCCTGAGAGAAACTTACTCCTGAGAGAAGTGTGCTCCTGAGAGACACGCATTTCTGAGAGAGAGACAATGAGACACACACACTGCTGGGAGAGATACTGAGAGAGACTGTTGGCTGAGAGACGATGGGCTGAGAGAGACTGAGCGTTGTTCCTGAACTTGAATTGTACCCTGGTGCTTCCCTAATAAACCCCATAATCTGTGAGTTCTGTGTGGCCACTGCAGCAAATTATCGAACCCAGCAGAGAGGTGGTGGGTGCTGTGCGAGGAACGGTTGGTGCCAGGGTTGGTGAAAGGGCTGGAGGGAGGCAGCATGGCTGGCCTTGCAGGAATAGGCCTTGGGCTACTGATGGTGATTCTTTCTTCCTCTTGTGGTGTTAGAGGAGGTCAGAAGATGGCGCCTCCCTGCCCCATTGGCAGTAACCTTCCAAAGAATTTAAATAAATACACCTTAAGATTGTGCTGAGTATAGGACTAATTCAGAATCTTCCAAACTCTTTCTTTTTTCCTATTTTGGTTTTGATCTTGGGGAAAACCATGTTGTTGTTGTTAGGTGCCATTGAATCATTTCTGACACAGTGACCCGATGTGCAACAGAATGAAACACTGCTAGTCCGGCACCATCCTCACAATTGTTGCTATGCTTGAGCCCATCACTGTGTCAGTCCATCTCGTTGAGGGTTTTCCTCTTTTTCACTGACCCTCCACTTTACCAAGCATGATCTCCTTCTCTAGGGAATGGTCCCTTCTGTCAACATGACCAAAGTAGATGAGATGAAGTCTGGCCATTCTTGCTTTCAAGGAGCCTTCTGGCTGCACTTCTTCTAGGACAGATTTGTTCCCTCTTCTGGCAGTCCACGATATTTTCTACATTCTTCACCAACACCATAACTCAAAGGCATCAACTCTTCTTTGATCTTCCTTATTCATTGTCCAGCTTTCACATGGATATGAGACTATTGAAAGTACCGTGGCTTGAGTCACATCTACCTTACCCTTACTCATCAAAGTGACATCTTTGCTCTTTAACACTTTAAAGAGGTCACTTGTAGCAGATTTGCCCACTGCACCATGTCGTCTGATTTCTTGACTACTGCTTCCATCGGTGTTGCTTGTGGATCCAAGTAGCATTGGTTATGGGTCCAAGTAAAATGAAATCCTTGACAACTTCAGTCTTAACTCTGTTTATCGTTATTTAGCTTATGGGCCTAGTGGTGAGGATTTTTTTTTCTTTATGTTGAATTATAATCCATACTGAAGGCTGTCATCTTTGATCTTCATCAGTAAGTGCTTCAAGTTGTCCTTGCTTTCAGCAAGCAAGGTTGTGCAGTCTGCATATTATAGGTTGTTAATGAGTCTTCTTCCAATCCTGATGTTTCATTCTTCTTCATATAGTTCAGCTTCTCAGCATACAGATTGCTCAGCATACAGACTGAATAAGTATTGTGAATGTTCTATGGGAAAAACCATAGAATTTCTTAAATAGCATATAATCAAATCATTAAGTTTAAAATACAGAATATATTAGGTATTTGTTTTGTAGTCATTTGATTCAATCTCTTTATACAAATGGGCAAAATTATTAATGAAATATTTTTCTTCAGGCTTATAATTAGTTGTCATTTATTCTGAGTAATACATATGCTTTATGTTTTTGTCACATCATAGCCCAGCAGAGGAACTGTATTTTGGAACTGCAGAATCTGGAGAGAAGAAAACTTTAATAGTGTTGACAAACGTAACTAAAAATATAGTGGCATTTAAGGTAAATATTTATAGATATAGTTAGAATAAACAAATCATGAGTGGAAATTTGCTGTGGGAAGTGATTTTAGACATTATAATTGAAAGATTAATCATTTTGAAATTGAGCAGTGTTGTTATGTGTATTGTAGGAATGTCATACTGCCTCCTAGTTCAAAGCAAAGGGCATTGCTTCTCTACGGTTGGTCGCTGGGATCTGGGTCTCCGTCTTTAATATGCAGTATTAGGCTAATGTCCAAATGGATCCCAGGGTTTAGTGTTTGTTGTAAATAAAAAGCCAAGGGAAATTGTGTTTCATGATATGAATGATTTAATTCATAATAAGAATGAAAGATAAAATTATAAAATCAAAAGTACATTCCCCCCCCCTCAAAAAAAAAAACTCACTGCCATCGAGTCAATTCTGATTCATGGCAACCCCAATTGGGTTTCCGAGGTAGATCTTTATGGAAGTAGATTGCTCAATCTTCCTTCCACGGAGTGGCTGGTGGGTTTGAACCACCAACCTTCTGGTTAGCAGTCAAATGCCTTAGGTACTATGCCACTAGAGCTCCTTATTTTCCCCCCAAGTGAGGTATATTCTGGAGTGTAGTTTAGTTTGGCCACTCATCTGATCCTGAGGATTAGCTGTAACATGACAAAGAGTCTCCCAGCAGCACCCCCACCCCGCTCTCCATTGTACGTGTTACTTCCTCAAAGCTTCTCTTTAATTTAGACGTAGCTACCAGGATCTTCTGGATGTTTTGATTGTCTCCTGTTTTTCAGTTTCTGAATGCTTTTGCAACCTGTGTGTGGGCGTGGGGGTTTTGAATTTGTGTTATTTAATTTAAGCGATTAACAGACAGAATAAAAATTTAACAGATAAATTTTTTATTAGCAAGGCTCAGTGATAAAGTTATGAGTATCTTTTCAAATAGATAAGGAGACTTTTTTTTTCCTATTGGTGGGGGGGGAAATATGTTCTATGCACAAAACCTGTAAAGTTGCTTTGTAAACTATTCATTGATAATGAACTATGAATTTTTCAAAGCTATTTTAAAGCCATTCCCCACCACACCCCCACACCCCAAAAAAACTATTGTGTTCATAAACAGGTGAGAACAACCGCTCCAGAAAAATACAGAGTCAAGCCAAGCAACAGCAGTTGTGAACCTGGCGCATCCGTTGATATAGTTGTGTCTCCCCATGGGGGTGAGTTTTTGTGTGATGGCCACTGTAGGGTGTTGTGGGAGGGACCTGGGACTAGGATTTGCACTCAAATCTGGAAATTAGGGAGTAGCAAGTCACCTACAAATCGCTTGTCTCATATGTAAAATGGGATGGCCTAATGGGTCTCTAAAGCCCTTTCCAACATCGAAATTGGATTGTTTTAAGCATTTAAGATTGTTTAAAAGGAGCACAGTTGAAATTGGATTTTAAACAAAATAATAGTTCTTCATATTTAGAAGAAATTTTCCCATTTTCAAGGTAGTCCCATTGTTTTCTTCCTTCTCCTTAATGCTGTGTTCTAGTATGATGCCTCCAACCACATGTAAATCTTTGTAAAGGTTCCTGTGTGTCTGATGAATTACGCTTTTGGAATGCAGGTTTAACAGTCTCTGCACAGGACCGTTTTCTGATAATGGCTGCAGAAATGGAGCAGTCATCTGGCACAGGCCCAGCCGAGTTGACACAGTTCTGGAAAGAAGTTCCCAAGACCAAAGTGATGGAGCATAGGTATGCTTTTTACTCACAGGCTCTCAAGTGGGTGCTGGGAAGAATTTGCAAGAAATGTACTAACATGGGCAAGGCAGGTGTGTCACTGTCTAGTGTGGCCCCTGAGATCTGCAAGGCTCTAGGGATGCCAAGATGAAAGGGACCTGGTGTTTTCAGGGAGACAACTCATAGCAGAAACATGCCTGCAGGCCAGTGCAAGAATCTGACCTCTTCAGCTTCCAAACACAGATCTCTTGTCCCTGTAGTTCTCCTTGGAGGAATGCTCACCTTGTGCACGAGAATGTGTGTTGCAGCATTATTTGTGATAGTGGAAAACTGGAAAGAAAGAACCTAAATGATCACCAGGAAAGCAATAGTGAAATGCGTTTGGCCATATCCCTGCTAAGAACTACTCTAACAAATAATTGCCAAGCCCATTACCATTGAGTCAGTTCCAACTCAGAGGCATAGTCTGTAGCCCTTCAGAAAGGTGAGGTGTGTCTGTCTGTTCTCACATGGAAAGATGTCTGTGATGTGTTATTAGGTAGAAGAAAATGTGGTCACAGAAAAATACATATGACATTCTCCTATGTAATTGGAGGAAAATGTGTGAGTGTGCAGATATGTGCATACATGTACATGCATATAAGTGTGCCAGGTAGTGATAATGCCTTGAAAAGATGCACAAAGAAAGGGTAGACTAGAGAAGGGTATGTGCTGTGTTGTTTTGTTTATTGGAGTGGTCCTCAGTCGGGAGGGGGGTATCCCCAGGAAACTTTGACAATGCCTAGAGACATTTTTGGTTGTGACAACTCGGGGGAGATGGTGCTACTGGCATCAGGTGGGTAGAGGCCAGGAAGGTGTTTAACATCCTACAATGCACAGTACAGCACCCAGCAGAAAGGATTGCCCAGCTCAACATGGCACTAATGCCAGATTGAGAAACCTATAAAGGGTAGTTAAGGATGGCCACTCTGGGGACATTTGCGCAGCGGTGGAAGGAATTGAGAGAGCAGGCCCCATAGATAACTGGAAAAAGAGCTTTCCAGGCAGAGGGACATAAATGAAAAAGGAGAGCACTTGGCCTGGGTGGGGAACCACACAGAGGGCAGTGTGGCTTGAGTGGGAGGGGGAGCGTGGTGGGAGATGAGGTCAGAGAGGTCATTGGGAGCCAGATCAGGGCTGAAGCGAGGACTTTTTGACTTTGAGCGAGAGGAGCAGCCATTACAGGATGCTGAGCAGAGCTTTGAGATGAGTGGCTAATTGTTTTAAGGGATTGTTCTGAAAACTAGGTGCAAAATAGACCATGGGCAGGCACAGGGGGAAGCAATGATCCTGAGCGTTAGCACTTAACTAGAGCTGACTGTGCCATCACAGTTCTGAGCGCTTGATATTTGTGTGCTCTTTTACTCTGAAACAGCCCAGTGAGGTAGGTGCTGTCATGGCCCCCATTTTCATAGATAATGAGAAACTAGTAATGGTCATGGCCAAAGGAAATCTTCAAAAACAGCAATGAAAGAATGTAGGCTGGAACACAGTGGTAGCGTGGTGCCTAAGGCATCTGACTGCTAACCAGAAAGCTGGCAGTTCAAACCCACCAGCCACTCCTCAGAAGGAAGACTGGGGAATCTACTTCCATAGAGATACCACCTCGGAAACCCAAGGAGGGGTCACTATGAGTCAAATTGACTCTACAGCAGTGAGTTTGGTTTTTTGGTTTGGTTGGAACATAGTGAAAGGATCCATGGTAAGAGAGTGAGAGAGGCAAGTGGGCCCAGAGGAGGAGCAGGGTCACAATCATAAAGCCCCTGGTAAGGCAGCAACCCCATAGGATTTGCCCTTGAAAAGGTCACACTCCATTTGTAGAATGGAAGAGAACAAGAGTGGGTCCAGAAGAACAAGTTGTTATTTCACTTGTCCCAGCAAGAAGGGATACAAGTTTGACCTTGCCTGGGGGGCTATTAGATGACCACATAGTGGAGAACAGTCTAACAGAATTAGGAGGCAAAGTAGTCGGCTCTGTGGCTACTGTCCTTGAGAGGAGAGAATGCTTCCTGGAGGAGGGACTGGTCCGTGGTGTCACATGCTCCCATGAGGTCAGGAAGGGTGAGCTGTGAGCAGTGGTGTTGACATCACAGAGGTGATTAATGACCTCCTGGAGAGCTCGCTCACTGCCTGGAGCCAGGGTGAATGGCCATCCTCCAGAAGCTGTAGAGCCCGAAGCAGTAGAGTTATTCTGGAGGTTTGGCTTGTTGGGGACAGGTTGGGGTAGGATTTAGAAGGAGGGATATGGCGTTGATGGACGGAGGGGTGGTTTTGTTTGGGGTATGTAAATGGGAGAGCTTTGAGTGTTTTTTAAAAGCCAGTAGCAAGGATCATTTGAGGAGGAGAGGTAGAATATACAAGATCCATGATGGGTAGTACACTCCCTGAGATGGCAGAAAGGGCCAGGACTTTTCCTGTCGGAGATGACTTAATAGTCCTTTGAGACTGGGGTAGTGTTTGGTTATGCTTTGTATGTCTGTTTCTCTGTGCTCAGTGGCGGGCTTTCCTGTGGCTGTCAAGGGATCACAGGGAGTGGGAGGCTCAGTGGTTTGGTACTGAAGGCCCAGCAAGTGCCATCTCCTATCTGGAAAGGGTTGTTGTTGTTGTTATGTGCCGTCGAGTCGGCCCCGACTCATAGCGACCCCTCCTTGGGTTTCCGAGGCAGTATCACTACGGAAGTAGGATTGCCCAACCTTCCTTCCGAGGAGTGACTGGTGGGTAGCTCCCTTCAAATCTAAGAGATTGGATGAATTCTACCGAATACCTTCTGAAAAGCTTTCCATCACATGCTGTGGATTATTGCGCAGTACAGGTTTCCCCCAGTATCCGAAAGTAGAACAATCCTGTGAAACCTTCTGTAAGCCAGAATGACATAGAATGGAGAAGCGATTACCATTAATTTATAGAGGAACAATTTTTGAGCATTCCCATACCCCAAAAATAACCTAACAAATCATACCAAATAACACATAAGACTTAAACTAACACATAGTGTTCACAGATGTTCAAACTAAGGTGACCTGATGCTGAGTGTAGTTCCGGGGAGAGAGCTTGGCAATGGCAGGCTTGCTGCTCAGGGTGTGTGCCACCTCTTTACTGGCCCGCTCCAAAACAAACTCTGAATGTTAGTTTCACTTTTCATCATTTTTCATAAAAGCGAACATCCTCTGCAGAGTTCTTTCAGTTAGCGAAAACAGGTACTAATATAGGTCTTTCCTAAAAGAGAAATGGTATAAAGTGAACCTCAGGAAAGCGGAAGGTAACTGGATTTGTAATGTTTCCTGTTATTTATAACTGTGTGAAAAAACTGGGAGATACAGACACGCTAAGCTGCCTGCCACCTTGGCTGTATCTGGGGAGAGGATGAGAGGTGTGAATAGTTTCCACACCTGTTTCATATACTTTTGTGTTTGATTTGTTTTCATTTTATATTTTACTTCTATAAAAAAATTTCACTAACAATTTATTAAAGTTATGTTTACTTTGGATTTTTATAGGTTGAGATGCCATACTATTGAAAGCAGTAAGCCAACCACTCTTACATTAAAAGACGGTCCTTTTAACATGTCAGATAAAACCAGTGAAGATATATGTCTGCAGGTAAGATTTCATGCCTCCAAATTGAGATGCAATTGTTCATGTGAATCAGCGTCAGAAATTTTTCCCACTGGCATACGGAAGTATCTTTGGTGTAGACACGCAGAAAGACTGTCTCCTTGGTGAAAGGAAGGCAGATCAGAAACAGTAAGAAATGTGTTCTACTTTTGGAGCTTTTCATTTGGAATAGGGCTGGATAGCATAGGACCAGGTGCTTTGGGGAGTAGCAAAGAATTCCATCTAGTGCACAAAGTACCAGGGGCACATTTAAATAAAATGGAGGGGAGCTCTTTCTGAATAGCCCATGGGAGCTGCAGGGTTCTGTCCCTTCAGGAAGTGATTGCTTTGCTCCTTTCTCAGCTAGAAAATTATCCCTTTAAAAATGAGGGTAAATGGATACATATCTGCCTGGCAAACCTGATTCTCATTGCATTTCCAGCTCTGAGCCTTTCAGAGTAGATGAACCCCATCTCTTAAATGTTTGGATTTCTAATATTCCTGTTTGTCATTTCCTTGAGGAATTTACTGTTTCATTAATACACGTCTTTCATCCCTTTTCCCTCTTTAGCTCAATCGTTTACTAGAAAGCAATAGGAAGCTTCAAGACCAAGTCCAGCGTTGTATCTGGTTCCAGCAGCTGCTGCTTTCCCTAATGATACTCTCGCTTGCTTTTGTTATTTCTTTCTTCTACTTGTACAGTTAGAGGAGTGGCACCCAGTAGGCAACGTGGCTCATTCATCTGTTAGTTGGAACAAGTAACTGACTCACAGCTTCTCCACCAAGCCAGAAAGCGCTAGCGGTGAGCACATCTGTGCTTTCTAGAAGGAAATGTGCAACATCTGGAGAGAGGGGGCTAGATACATGTCTTAAAAATAAACTGCTAGAATAAAGAATTACCTTGCAAATGAAAAAAAATGGATTTCAAGAGATTATTTAGTCCATAAGTAAAGGCATATTCATGGTGTAAATTAATAATAGTTTAAAGAAATTTATTTATTTCCTTTTGGTTTGAATGCTTTTAAAGCTTGTTTAAGTTTTATCATGTATATACATTAGCTGAACTGAGAAGTGTAAGTAAAATGCTTTGTTGCAGCCAAAAACTGTAGTGTGCTTTGTATGATGGAATTATTACAGCTGAGCCAACTTGCTGGCTTTTCTATACTATGTATATAGGAGAACATGTATATGGGAAAAGAAAACCGACTTATACAGAATAATTTATGTAATCATGACTTTGTCAATTTGAGAATTTCTTCCAGATGATAGTCACCATTCTTTTGGAATGTAAAACTCTAATGCCAAACCACCAGAAGCCTCGCTTTCTCATCAGTATTCCTTATTAACAGGCTGCCTTTTATTAATCTGGGGCTTTTTTAGGAAACTTTAGAAAACTGAGTTTTCTTGGATTTTCTTTGAATTCCGGTAGTAATGTCCAGAAGGAAATGTCTTCAAGCAGGTCCTCTTTACAGCCCTCTTGCGCTATTGCATGTTCTTGCTGGGGCTGGACACTGAGCCTGTCACTGGATTTGTCAGAGAAGCCAGACCCTGCATTGGACCAGCCTCACTCTCCTTCCAGATCAGGGGAGTCTCTTTGTGGACCCCACGTTGCACTTACCCTCCCTCCTTCTAGATAACAGGAACTGGATCATTTGTTTTCATTAGTGTTTCAAGCTCCATGGCAGGATATTTCCTTTGCACTTCAGTTCCTTGTTAAAATCAGCCGTGGGAAGGAACTTACGAAAGGCTGGAGCGTCCATGAATAAAACTTAGAAGCTCCTGTGTCAGCTATCAGTTTAAAGAATGAAAACTGGAACTTTTGATGGACTACACAGCTTTCCAGCCAGGGGGAAAGGACCTGCTTGGTTTTCTGCCTTTGCTGCACTAACTCCCGATATGGTTCCTAATGCCCCAATGATACCCTGTGCAGGAGCAGGGCATACCACAGTGCAGTTTGTTTTATCAGTCACAGGCTCCTTTGCAGTCCATGAGGGTGGAAATGCAAATCGACTTTAGATGAAAGAAAATGCAGTCCACCTGTAAAATACATCTGCAGTTTAGATCGGGTCGGGTTTAGGGAATTACTGTTGTTATGATTCTGAGGTGTAGTGTTGTCAGCTTTCATCTTTAGAAGTGGAAGTTTGGAAATTGAGTCATGAAACATGCTGTGTTAGAGTTCCTTGGAAACTGACCTGGGAAATGAAACCTTAAAAGGCCACAGGTCTGATACTCTGTCTTTACTTGGATTGGTTTTTCTGTTGCAGTTTACCAACTCCAGATGGGAAACAGACTGCAGTCCACCCTAAGTACTTGTCATCACAGTTTCTCCCTGTTTGTGTGCACCTTACATGTCAAATTTTTGTCTCTAATAGAATCCAATCCCAAAGTAATTGTGTATGTTTTTTGTTCCTCTGCAAGTAACTGAGGAAACCACGAGGCAAGCTTGGGACTGTGTTGTGCTAACAGTGTCCCTTTCATGTCTCACGTGGAAATTCTGTTGACATGCTTGGTGTCTGCTTCATCGTTCATTATTGAATTTAATAACATGTCTCGCTGACATTTGTGTGTCTGTTAAATGTGACTAGGCTGAATTATTGAAAATTAATGATAACATCAAAGGTATCTGACAACTTTTGTGCTTGTCTTCTTTAATCATACACATTTACATTTGATTTTATGCTATCTTCCTTTGATTTTATTCAATCACATTTGTATGATTCTTTTTGGAACTCTACGGTTTGTCTTTCTGTGACTGAGAATTTTATTATTAATCATGTCATTAACTGTTCATGACCAAATGTCCAAGGACCAGCGTTCAGATTGAGAGTTTTGTTTTCACTTGGGAATAGAAATTAATAAATTCTCCTTGAAAACATTAATGAAATATTATTAAATTAATCTGCAAGTATCCTAATGTGATTGCTGGTAAACTTAGCCTCAAATTTCATAATAGTACCATAACTGTTTTTATATCTTGCCACTAATTTTGACTGGATTTAATAGCACTTTATTGTACAATTGCAAAAGAAAAGAAAATACATTCCTAGAATTGTTGCCAGTATAATTTCTCTAATGTTCTGGTGCTTTTCATATATTTTCAGTATTTTTATTACTATATTGATATTTTCTTTGTATAAATTGATCAAAAGAACATGTTTTCTATTTTAATATGTTTTAGAAAAATAATTACATTTATGAAATAAATATCATCAGGAAAAAACTCTGGTCTCTAATTGATAAAACATTTCTTAGACTCAGTGTGACCTTTTAAGGATCATATTCATTTCTTTTGACTCCGCTTGCTTTGCATTTTTACAAGGTCAGCACCGCAGACTACCAAGGATGCAATCCCGAGACCAGGTAAACATGCCTGGCCGTGGAATTCTCCATCCCCGCCCCCCCAGCTTAGCAGTGAACCCATGATATAGCTTGAGGATCCATTACTGAACCTAGAGCTATGAGGAGTCAGAATTGCCTCAAGTCCCCCCACTCCTAGTATCTACACCCCTCCCCTTTCCTGCCTGACAGGAGCAAGCAGGAATGGGACTACCAAGAGGTCCTGCCTGGTTGTGGGGCACATGGAAGATGGCAGCCTGGCCCTGGGAATGTTCTTTGCAGTGAAGCACACAGCACTGCCCAGGGAGTGGGTGCTAGGCACTGGGGAGGAACCCCCAGGATGGTTAATGTCTGGTCCCCTCACCACTGGAAGACAGCCTCCCAAATAGCAGCTACATCACAATGCAGTGGACAGGGCAGGTCGATCTTCTAAACTTTTCCATTTAGAAGTGGACTTTTAGAGGTTAGAGGTAGAAATGCCAAGCCAAGTGGGAAGAGAGTCCAAACCATCTGATAAATTCACAAGAGACCTACAAAGACAGGACATTGACCTAAGGAGAAGCATACTCACCAGGGCCTGTGAGGGAGTGGGCTCCTTTCCTGAAAGACCATGTATAGGAAAAACAGCACCTGTGGGGAGGAGGTCCAGCTAGGAAAGACCGATTACAAGAATCATCAGCTCTTGAGGTTGCCTGATGTCGGAACAACATGGGCCCCCAAAATAGAGGGCTCTTCTCCCCCTCACCCAAAGGGACAGAATGGAACCATTCCCACTTATTCCAACTGAGACAGTGTTGGGAGTGAGGGCTCTCGGGTAAGACTACCTGAGTTTAAGTCCCTCCTCTGCCAGTTGCTGCCAGTCCAACTGGGGCATGTTAACTAAGCTTGCTCAGCCTCAGTTTCCCGTTCCTAAATGAGTTTGATCATCATACTACTCTGTAGGACCGGTGTGAGAATGAGATGCGATGATCCTCTGAAACCCTCCCTGGAGAGGTTAGCCTCACTGTGCTGATAGCTTGCCTGCGCCTGCTTCCAGCTTCCATAACTTTTCACACTTGGCTTGATATTCCTGACTATCCCATTTTGTTCAAAGCCAGATGTCAGCTCTCCAAACTTTTCCATGCTTTGTATTCCTACCCTTGCTTTCTTGACAGCTCACTTTGAATTCTGGTTCCCAGGAGAGGGACACACCTAAACCAAAAAACCAAACTCACTGCTGTCAAGTCGGATCTGACTCAGCGAACCCTCCTTGGGTTTCCAAGGTGGTATCTCTATGGAAGTAGATTGCCCAGTCTTCCTTCTGAGGAGTGGCTGGTGGGTTTGAACCACCAGCCTTCTGGTTAGCAGTCAGATGCCTTAGGCACTACGCCACCACAGCTCCCAGGGACACATTTAGAAGGCTTGTGATAATGAGTCCTGTAAAGGAGTGTTGCTGCAGGCTGAGGCAGGCTGGGGTAGGATGCTTCCTACCACCAATGCACACACATCCACGAAGCACACCACACATGTGTAATTAATCTTGCAGTGTTTCCCCCGTTATAGTTTCCCCTTTGTAACAAATCAATAAAATGACCACATGGGATTTTTCACATCTGCATCTCCGTTTTGTCTTATTGAGCAAAAACTGTTGCTGTTGTTGTTATGTGCCGTCGAGTCAGCCCGACTCATAGAGACCCCTCCTTGGGTTTCTGAGACAGTATCACTACAGAAGTAGATTGCTCAACCTTCCTTCCGAGGAGTGGCTGGTGGGTTTGAACTGCCAGCCTTCTGGTTAGCAGTCAAGTGTCTTAGGCACTATGCTACCATTTCCAAACATTCTCATACCATCCCTCCCTGCCTCCTGCCCCCACCACACAGAGTAAGACTGCTATCTCTTGCACATGTAAAAATATTTGAGGACAATTGTGGCTTAAATTAGGAAAACAGGAAGAAACATCTCCATGCCCTGTAGTGGCAAGATATGTGCACATTTTCAAATCTTTCTAGAGTATAAATTTGAGGGGTTGGTATGTCTGCAAAACCCTTTCTGCCATATTACATAACACCATGGAAGTGGCATGCTATATTATTCCTGAGTGCCACCCGCACCCCAAGGGGAGGGCATTCTCAACAGTGTGTGTTAGGTGGGACACGCAAGTTCATCCAACTCAACCCTGTCATGTTAACAGACCAGGAAACAGGCTCAGAAAACTGAACCCAGTCTTAGCTAGTGTGACTAATAGCTTTGAGTTCACAGATGTTCTTCACCTGGAAGGAAATGGACTAGAACTTCAGGATTCCAGGTACCAAATGACAGGAATGGGGGACTGGATGCTTTTGCCTCAGTTGGCTTTCTTCAGCCTCTTAGCTTTAGCTCACACAAATTCTCAACCTTTTATAAATAAGCTGCTGAGAGAAATTATGTCACCACTATTTTAAACATTTGTTCAATTGTAAAAACAGTTGAGAAAGATTATCATAATGAGTTCATGTACTAGAGCAAAGGGCACTTCCAGTAAGTATGTGCTTTGGTAAAGGATGCACTAGTACAAAACAATTGGCTTTTTTTAACTTTCCTG